TCTGGTGAATGTTTATTCCTCTGGTCCCCGCTAGGGTGCAGTGAAGCGCGGGAAAGCGGAAACAGCAGGAAAACGACGAAGAAGCGGAACTTCCGTGTTGTTCAACATGGAGTGAGAAAATGTAGCTTATTTTCGCTTAGTTAATATCTAAAATGAGTTAGTTAATGTTTTGTGTAGCGTTTCTTCTCCAAAGTTTATTGGTAATTCGTTTTTTATCATTATTTTGAGCCTTTTGACTATATTAGCAGTTGTTTGATGCTAGCAGAGGAGGCTGAATGAGGCCGCTCAGTGTTTAAGCTTTAATGTTTGTTTACCGTGAGGTTTCTGCTGCTATGTAAGCTGCTTTTGTTTCGTCGTTTCAATGGGAAAAAGGAAAGACATGATTCACCCCAGATTTCTCGGTGAGTATTTGAGAAAGCTTATACTGTTGCAGTCGCACGTTTTCGTATATTCTTTCCTTGTGCTTAAAGTCTCCAGTTTGTCTGCTTAAAACCACAACCTCCAAAAAGCTGATTAAACATATCCATAAAACAAAACAAAACATCGGCGCATCTAAACCAGGAGTGACCTCTTGGAATATCCCACCCTCATATAAAGCTTAACGTGGGCCTTTTGTAGTGGCTGGCCTCCGTTTTAAGCAGTAAATGGAAGCTGTGTGTGTTGATAGTTTGGGGGGATAACAAAGAGGAAGTTTGGCTGATATTTTGAAATGCATCTTAAACAAATGTTTATAGGAGAAACCTCCTCCAAGTTGGGACAAAACATGTCCCTTCACAGTTTACTTTGATTTAAAGAGTTTCTTACAGCAGTAGAAAAGGTATTTTCGTTGTTTGTTTGTTTTTTTAATCTGCCAGCATTCAGACTGTGGGTCAGTTGTGAGCCCAACAACACATAAACTACACATAACAAATGTTGGATAAAGCTTTTTATGTGACTTAAAGGAAAAATACTGGTGCATATGTCAGAATATTGGCTTTTCAAATCCTCAGGTATTGGTATCACTCCCAAAAGGTTGATTCTGTTCATCTGGACATAGCGTTTTTCAGTGGGAGAAAAGTTTCCTCATTCATCCAACTGTGACTTCTTCAGTCTTAGCTGACTGACGGTTTCCCCAGCCTTATAAACAGTACCTTTTAACAATGACTGAAACTAGCACCACTGAATGAACAATGGACTGTGAGGTCAGTTTCTTCATTAATGTGCAAATTGTGATGACCATTGATCAACAACCTCTGATCAAAGACCACTGATCATTCACAGAGAGTTGGGGAATGGCTGCAATCACAGCATTGTAAGATGGTGAAAGATGTACCCTTAGGCCCTGAGGAGGTTCTTTCCCTTTTCACATAAATGGCCTCCTTGACTCTGCCCTCAAACCAGCGTTCCTCCCTGTCCAGGATGTGTACATCCTCATTATTGAGGATGTACACAAGGTACTCTGCAGTCTACACCACTGGACACAAGGGTGTCCAGTGGTGTAGACTGCAGAGTATCAGTGTCAATGATTTGGAGACGGTGGCACTGACAAAAAGACAGGTGGTTGAGCTGGAGATGTTAAGATTTTCAGTGGGAGTGACCAGAATAGACAAGAATAGAAATGAATGTAACAGAGGGACAACTCAGGCCAAGCAGAAAGGGAGAGAGGCAAAGATGAGATGGTGTGGCTATGTACAGAAGAGGCATAGTGGATATACTGGACAAAGGAGAGATGGAGCTTCCAGGCAGGAGGGGAAGACCGCAAAGCAGGTTCATGGATGTAGTGATGGACATGGTGTGACAGAGGAGGATGATAGGAATACATATAAGCAGATTATCTGCTTCAGTGACCTCTGTAGGAGCGGCCACTCTATTAAAAATGACAAACTAGAATGAAATATTTTTTTGCCGAATGTATTTTTTTTAAAAAAAGGTGAAATCATATTGTTTTTACTCTGAGCTGATTCATTTGTAATTTTATTGTTATAGGGTTCAAATCGAGTCTGTTTATTAGGCCTTTTAAAAGGCAGCCATCGCTGACCAAAGTGATGTAATTAATGTAAGTAAGTAATTAAAATTTTACGTGGTTTTTAAAAGAACACACAAACAAAACAAGAAAAATAATCAGAACTGAGACTGGTTTAAAAACCCGAGAATAGAAAGGGATTTGTTTGTTTGCTTGCTTTTTAATGAGGTCAGGTCTTAGGTTGATGTTTCCAATGCAGGTTATTTTACTTGTGTCACATTATTCCTTTGTTAAATACATGTTGGTATATGTTGTGATGGAAAGCTGAGAGACTTGGAAACAGTTATTTCTTGTAATGAGTTTCTTTGTTTACCTGACCCAAAGGGGGATATAAATGACGCAACTAGATCCAAACACATGGATTGTTTATATTAAAACCAACTTGGAGTTCTGATTCTTGACCTTTGATTTCTGGTTCAATTCTGTAGAAAACAAATTAGAAAAATTGTCTGGCTCTGTGAATGTGAATTTGATAAGCAGAAGATGAATGGATGTGGATCTAAACATTTTATTTGAAAAGAAATCATTTTGCGTTTTAGCTCATCGAGCTGATGGACCACTGCCCTTACGCTGTGGCGAGGTGTCTGTTCTTCCACAGTTCTCCTCCTACAGATTTGATCAGAATTTAATCAAACTTGCACACAGTGATTGTCTAATCATTGGGTCTTAACCTAAACTGTGCTCAATTAGCCATTTAAAAGTTCTAAATTGTGAACTGTGATGTACCATGAGCTGGATGAGCAACTAAGTCACTGACGGTCTTTGTATTAATCTGTGCTTTGTCCCGTCCTCTGCAGGTGAAGGTGGCTCCAGCCTGCACAGCGCTCACAAGCGGAAACACAAAAAACACAAGAAGCACAAGAAGAAGCACCACAGCTTCCCCGAGGTGCCGGAGCCTGAGCCTGTAGTGGTGCCTCGGCCTCCGCCGCAGCTCCGACTGAAGATCAAACTGGGAGGACAGACGCTGGGAACCAAGAGGTGAGACGTTTGAGCCAGATTTCAGTATCGATAACTGTTCATGAATCAGTTTGATCAGTCAGTTAAAAGGACATTGTGCTCTCCAGTGTTCCCACTTTCACAGTCCATCCTGGTGTGGCTCGTCCACCCTCACCTTTAATGATCATTGACAACAACGTTGATGACGACGATGATGACGATGATGAAGATGATGATGACGAGCCCTCTGTTCCTTTGGAGCAGTATCGAGCCTGGCTCGGTGAGTAAGCAAAACAAGTGGACTCAATTCTAATATAGGAGGAGGGATGACCTCAGCTTGATCGGGACTGTTGACACTTCATGGATGAAACCATGAAGGAAGTCATATTTGAAAGAAATGATTACTAGTTCCCGCTGTTTAGTTTCAAGTTTCTGCCAACCTCCTGAGATCTAAGCTCGTGTAAAAACTTTGTTGCATACTTTAAAAAAAAACCTGGTTTTGTTTTTTTGTTTTTTTTCTGGCAGTTTTGTTGGTTTTTTCTGCATGTGTTTGTCACACGTCTTTGACATAGAATTTTTATGTTGGAAATGGTTCCTTTGCCAAAGATTAAAACATTTGTGCTGTTTGTTGCCAGATATTTTCTTATTCCCAAATACTTACTGCTTTTGTCTAATCTGGTTGTGAACTGAATATTTTTTTTTATCACCTGGACAACATCCTCTGATATTTACAAACCAGTTTATAAACTGTGGTTTGAAAGAAATACTCCACACATTAATAAGTATAATCTGCCTGCATCCCTACATGACTCCAACTTCAGAGCTGAAACAAACAGTGATGTCTGAGAATTTGCTGATGGTACAGAATAGCACAACAGAGCTTGATCTTGATTTTATTTTAGCCTTGCATTAAAGACTGTCTGTGTATCTTGATTCTTTTGTACCAGATGAAGACAGCAACCTGGCCACATCCCCTCTGCCAGATATGGACTCAGATTCCATGCTGGGCGGGCCCGTGGACGAGGAGGAGCGGTGGCTGGACGCTCTGGAGAAAGGAGAGCTTGATGACAACGGAGAGCTGAAGAAGGAGATCGATGAGTCTCTGCTCACTGCCAGACAGGTGAGAAGCAGCTGTCAGTGTTGTGGAGAACATTTTCACCTGTGCCTGACTTTAATATGAGAGGTCTTCCAGCATTTGAAATCAGGGGTAAACCTTTGTTTTTTTTTTTAAAGTAGCTTAAAACATGTATTTTTTTCCTTGTCTCTCCCCCTCAGAAAGCTCTGCTACACAAGCAGCAGAGTCAGCCTCTCCTGGAGCTCCCCATGGGCTACAAGGAGAAAGAGATGACCGCTGAGATGATGCAGAAGCGGGAGGAGCGTGCCCGAAAGAGACGCCTGCAGGCCGCCAAGAAGGCAGAGGAGAACAAGAACCAGACGATAGAGAGACTGACGAAAACCAGCAAGGCCAAGATCAAAAGCATGAAGGAAAAGAAGTCCAAGCAGAGCCAGTGCCCCATGGTTCGGTACAGCGATTCTGTCCAGGGAATGGCCATCTCCTTCCCAGCAGGGGTCCCCGCTCCTATTCCGGCACCTCCCTGCCCTCCTCCTCCAGCCCCATTGAACTGTGGAGTGAGTGGGTGCACAAACCTCAAGAAGTACTCGTGCTCAAAGACCGGAGTTGCTCTCTGCAGCCTCGAGTGCTACAAGAGGAACCTCCTGCTCGTGCAGAGCGCAGCGTGAACCCCAGACAGTTGAGTTTATGCCACCCTGGGATGTGACAATGGCGAGTATTCATGCTCGTGTATTTACGTTAACAGGACACTGGTGACCGTGCAGTGGTAGGAAGGTGATTTTGGACTTTCCTGTCCAGTGTGAGGAGACTGTATATCAACATGCTTTTTTCATGTGTCATGATAATGATTCTCTGTGGAGCTGCTCATCCAATTATGTACATTTTTTTTTTTTTTAAAGATTAATCTGTGTACAAATCAAATATTCAGTATTTATGATTTGTAGAACATCGTCATTGTCGGTGCAGATAAAGTGCATCTTTTTTGTTTCTGAGTTTTGAGAGAGTAGCTGTTTCCACTTTTCTTTGTTAATAATGTGAAAAAACAAATTGGTCAGGAAGCAATAAAATAATAATAATTTTCACTTTTAATGTTCATTCATTAATGTAACAAATGAGTCAATTTCCTTACAAAACTGTACAAAGTTTAAATTAAGCAACTGAAAGGCATTTTTACTTCACTGTAAACTGTTTGTGAAAACATCACCACACCCCTGTGTGCTGTGTCCGCCTGGAGATGTACGCTGCTGCTGTTGCAGGAAGGTCTTGCATGAGTTTCTGCACTATGGCGTCATAAGGTATTCCCTGATTGACTTGAGTGGATTTTCATGTGCACATAAAAAATGTGTCTATGGTCTTTTATATGTGCAATAAGGCACAAAATAGCAGTCGGCCTAATATCACTGTTGAAAAAAAAATGTAAAAAGGCTCCCTACATTTATGCTTGCGTGCTTCGACAAGCGTCACAATTTGAATTATCTTCCTGAGGATGTTACGGATGCTTCACTGGTAAACGAAGTCTGAAAGTTTCTGTTCATCACTGCCGCTGATCTGGTGCAGAAGAGGATAGCGACAGGTCACAAAGCCAAACCAAAGGAGAGTCTGAAGGCCATTTCCACGGGAACCTCGGGCACAGAGTCATGGAAGCACACGTAGAACTCCTGAGGAACGGGCTCCAGCAGCATGCGTCTGAAAACCAAAGGAAGGAGACTGAGATGAGAAATTCAATTTACTTAATTTATATAGTGCCGAATCGTAACAGCAGTCACCTCAAAGACTAGTCTAAGTTAAAGACCGTACAATAATAGAGAGAAACAATCATATGACCCCCTATGAGCAAGCACTTGGTGACAGTGAGAAGGAAAAACTCCATCAGAACCAGCCATCTGCTCTAACCAGTTGGAGGTGAGGGGAGGAAGACGGAGGAAAAAAAACAAAGATAGCCAGATATGATTAAATGCAGAGTATAAACGCAGTGAGTGAAGAAGACACAATGCATCATGGGAATCCCCCAGCAGCCTACACGTATTACAGCATAACTAAGGGAGGATTCAGGGTCACCTGGTCCAGCCCTAACTATATGCTTTACCAAAACAGAAAGTTTTAAGCCTAATCTTAAAAGCAGAGAGCCAAGTGCTCTAATGGGGTGATACTGTACTGTAAGGTCTTTAAAACAAGGTGGGCCATTATTATTCAAAACCTTGTATGTGAGGAGACAATATATGATATATATAGTGTATGTGAGAATGAGGCGGGGGCACATTTACAAAAAGCCTTGGATAGAAACAAGAAACGTTAAAATTCATGTTATGAATCGACAAAGGAGCTCAGTTAATTCATTCTAAATTGTTCCCCTGTGACCCTTCCTTACAAATCCTGTTTTAACTCCATCTCTAATCTGCCTGCCCCTCTCCTCTTTGACTTACTGAGACTGGGAGTTTTTCCAGGATAAACACAAAGTTCCAAAATGAAGAGTTCCCCGTCTCCTCCCCGTGTTTCACTGAACACACTGCACAATGCTTCGTATTCATTTCAGCCATTAAACAGCAGACTGAGAAAACAGAGTTACTGGAAGTCTCCCTGAATAGGACCGAGACCAGTTTTATCCTCCAGTAATATTATTTACTAAAGCTATGAATCAGGTTTGGCTGCTCGATCATTCAGGTGAAGACAGAAAGTTGAACGGTTGCAGTCCCCAGATGAGGACTCAACCTGGGCACACTTCATTGCTCCAGCTGCCGCCTGAATAATCTGAACATGTAAACCTGTGCGGTTAAAAAAGCAAATAAGTGGATAAGTGGAAGCTGACGTACCCAATGACCCAGTAAGTCATGGTGGGAGCAGGTTTCTTCTGGTCGGTCCAGTTCTCGGGTTTACACTGAAACAGAACCCCGTGTTCTTTGACGGGACCCAGACCCCAGCCGCCGCCCTGCGGCCTGTCTGCTGCACGGCGGCTCTACGGGAAACAAAAATCACACCAACAATCACCTGATTCATTGAACACATTAATGCGCAGAATACAGAAAATGCCCGCTGAGCCCTGCAGGAAACAGGTTTCCTTTAACCACAGTGGAAACTTGTGTTTTCACACCTTAGTCTCTCCATGCTGGGTAAAGAAGTCCTGACCAAAAAGTTGCTGTTGAGGGAAATATGAGTCTGTAGCCTCCATTAATATGTAAGATCAGGAAAATCTGCTGTATTCATGATGGTCCTGATGTGTTTGTCTATGAAATAAATCACAGCTAACCCTTTTTATTGTCAGCGGCAGAAACAAGCTTCCACACAATTCTGGAAACCTCACACTTAAAGGAAACACCTTTCTGTCTCACCCTGGCTGGCAGACTCTGCTGGAAGGCAGCTCGTATGGAGAGGCAGCAGTGGTGGAAGTTGCGAATGAGCTGTGGGTGAATGGAGCCGCTCAGCTGAGCCACCTCTCTGTGAGTGGGAGCGATGAAGATTCCCTGCACGGTTTCCATCAGGACGTAGTGGAACAAGGTGTTCTCTGCACCCGATGTTAGTCTGTGGCAAACACAGGACCTCAGGTCAAACTGAAAAGAGATCGTTTTTATCTGGTTAGTAAAAGTAACCGGATAACCGGTCACTTACTTCATGGTGTTGTACATCTCCTCTGTTTCTCTCTCAGTCAGGGTCTTCTTCAGGGTGCCCAGATAAAAAGGGTTTGGGTGCTTCATCCTGGGTATCTGATAAAAACATATAAAGTGTATCAAAATGTCAAAGTTAAATAAAATCTGCTTTTAATTGGCTTGTAGACAAAAAAATATTTAAGCCACTCTCACTTCACCTATTTAAAAAGAAATTCTATTAGTGTGCTTTTAATTTTTTTAAGTTTTATGCAGTCCATCGACTTCCAGCTTTGTTCCCTATAACTTGTTTTATTTGTGACCAGCTGGTTTGTTCCAAACAATTCGGGCAAGTTTTCTGCATTTTCAATGAAAATACTTTGAGCCAAACCTTGTTCAAAACCTCTGTGTTCAGCACTTTTCCATTTATGTGCAGATTTATTAGAAAATAAATTAGATATTTCACATCCTGTAACAAATTTAATTCACTGATATTGGCTAACAGATGAAAAAATAAACAGGAACAAATATAAACTCCTTAAAAGATTACAGATGAACCTTGAAGAGTCCTCCGCTGCCTCCGCTCCCATCAGACCCTCCAGACCCCAGCGAGTCCCGACGACCTCCCAGCTTCCTGGCTGAGTCCGGTGTGGAATGCGGACTGAGGCCTGGAGCCGCTGACGAACTGGACCCCGACCCGGCATCCATCTGCCCCTCGCTCCCGCTGTCCGACAAGCTCCTCTGCGGGCTGGCCCTCCACGACTTCTCCCCAAACAGGGCGCGAGCTCTGGACCCGGACGAGGAGGCTTTAACGGCACCGGCGAGCTTGCTGAAGACGGGCGAGGAGGAGGCCAGGCTGTCGAGCCGGTCACGAGCTGTGGCAGCAGGGAGGAACCAGTCGGCGCAAGACAGGCAGGGAGCAGGCGGAGCATTCAGACGCTCTTCGATACCTGGTTCCAACACCTCCAGCTGCAGCAGGGTGGCTTTCACCTGGGGGCCAGAACAACACAGAGCTTCAGTTTGATGTAAATGATCATGGCAGGAATTCATCTTCAGGTTTAAAAAAGCCCACCTGATCAATGTAAACACAATCAGGTCCAGGAGAGCCCAAAGCTGGGGAAGCACAGCCGCCTGCTTCCAACAGTACACACTGCATAAAGTGTCTCTGAGGACAGAGGGAAAATGATATCATGAAGAAGCATCAATACCGGCAGATAACACACACATGGGCAGAGACTGAGGAGATGAGGCAGAATTACAGTCATGATAAAAAGCACCCCATGACTGCATAGCTTGTAGAACCACCTTCAGCAGCAACAACTTGAGGCAGCTGTTTTCTGTCAGACTCTCACATTGAGTCAGATGAATTTTGGCCCACTCTCTGTGTATAATGTTGCTTCAGTTCATTGACCTGTTATTGAGGCTTGTGGGTATTCATCTTTCTTAAGGTCCCAGCACAAAATATATATCAGGCTGGACTTTGACTGGATCACTGTGACACTTTTTTCTTTTATAGCTACTCTGTTGTAGATTTGCTGCTGTGCTCAGGACCAATGTTCTGTGGCATTACTCAGTTTAGGCCAAGTTTAAAGCTTCTCAGACGGCTGTCTTCACATTTGACTCAAGAATATTTTGGTATACAGAGGAATTCATGGTCGTCTCAAACACTGCAAGATGCCCAGGTCCTGTGGCTGCAACCCAAACCCAAATCATCACCCCTCCACCACCGTGGACAACAACTTTGCAAACAAAAGCCATGTTGTTATTATATTTTTAGAGAAAAGAAGCTTTCTCCTGCAAACCCCTGTAAACAAACAGGTAACTGTACCAAAGACTGTCATGAACTTTAACATTTAACATGCTAACTGAGAGTCTGAGTCTGAGATGTGGCTCTTGTTTTTTGTTG